GACCAGACCGGCAGGCAGAGAGGTTAGGGGCGATCAGGCAAGCAGGCAGGTGAGCAGTTAGGAGCCAGTGGTCCCGATTGTGAAAGGGCAGTTGGACATCTCACCGAGGAGTCCCGGATTGGAGAGGGTGCAGGCCAGGCTGAGGGACCCCTTCCCCCCACATGAATTTTGTGCACCGGGCCTCTAGTATTGTTATAATTATTGTTATTTTTATTAATGAATATTTGCTGTGTGCCAGTGTTTTTATTGGTTGGTTGGAAAAAGAAAAGTGCATAGTTTTACTGTTTCACAAAATTTTTAGCTATTTTAAAAAAAAATATTTTTTATTGATTTCAGAGAGGAAGGGAGAGGGAGATAGAAACTCAATGATGAGAGAGAATCACTGATTGGCTGCCTCCTACATACCCTACACTGGGGATCAAGCCTGCAACTCAGCACGTGCCCTAACAGGGAATTGATCAGTGACCTCCTGGTTCATAGGTCGATGCTCAACCACTGAGCTATGCCAGCCAGGCTTTAGCTATTCTTTTTGTACTAAACTGTTATATAGTCAGCTTGCCCATTTACATATTGTTCAAGTTCAGGAATTTATAGTTACACTTTTCCATCAAAATGTCTAGTTCAGTGGGTGCATGTCAATATTTATCAAGTACTAACTAGGTACTAGTCACTCTTCTAAACATGAATTATCCCTTTGACTCCTCCTTACAGCCTTAAAATAAGATATTATGACTTTAAAGAGGATGAGACTGTGTCACTGAGAGGGTCTACAGTGTCCAAGTCAGGGTGTGGTCCCAATGGTCTGGCTCCAGAACCCAGCCTTTTCATCCCTGTGCTGTACTGCCTCTCACATGGTGGGAGCAGCAGCAACTATTTCATGTGCAATTCACAACTGCAGCTGTTAAAAGTGAGCTACTGCTGAGCTGTTCCCTTCTTTTTTGTTGGAAAGTACAATCCTTGATTTTGGTGAAGTTGTTAAGTCTCTCCTATAAGGAAGCTATGACCTTAAGGCAGTGACAAATGGTTGATTCCGGACTATCCAAGTGTTACTCGCATTTCCAATCATCCTTGAGAATTATAGAGTAAGATGTTGACCAACATAATTTTTTGTCCCCCCTCCAATAAGCCAATACTGTTGTATATCCCTAGCACTTTCTATGTTAGAATCCAAGCCACAAAGTACTATTCTTTAAAAAGCCCATTTCTGATTGTAATTGTCAGATTGTGTTTTTTGTTTTGTTTTTTTTTGGGGGGGGGTTATTTCTTTATTTTTTGGTGTTTTTTCTTTTTACATCTGTGTCAGGATGCTTCATCTAATACTATCTATGATTGTTGAAAACATTCATTTATGTCTTATTTCTAGAATACATGTCACACAAATTTATTATGGCACTGAATCAGAAATTCAGCATTTCTTAGTGTTGTATAAATTTATTTCATTTTACTTTTAATAATTATATGCAGTGTATTCAAGAAAATAAAGAAAATTATTCTGTAAATATTTTTCAATAGCTACAGGATGGGTCCGAGGTGCTAAGTCCTTTATAGTTTTATTTTTAGAGATAGTATTTGGAATTGGCTTTAGACAGTAGTGGTTGTCCTATTCCCTACATACCAGTAAGCCAATAATGTTGTATTTACCAATTAGAAAGTAACATTTATTCGATGAAGTAGATTTTAGCTTCTAACTTTCAATCTGTTTTTTAAGCTAATAACTTATAACTCATTTGCTATATTTGTAGACCAATGGTTTTAAATAAAATTAACATCAAAAGCTATTTCCCCATGTATCAACAACACCACCTGTTGATGAGACAAAGCTGAGTTTTACTGCTTATTGCAGTTAGAAAAAAAACCACCTGCAATTCCTGGCAGTGTCTTGGGAGCTCTAACAGACCTAACTTGGCTGAAGCATGGACTATATAAGTAGAATGTCAAGAGATGACGCCAGACTCAAATCCTAAGTGTTTTTGATTGCCATATTACAAATTTGGACTTGACCCTCTCCTTTCCCTTCTTGCCTTTACTCACTCTTATGCATTCATCCACTTATTCAATAAATATTTATTGAGCATGTACCATGTGTTAAGTATCTGGGAAACAGCCCCAAACATATAAAAAAAAAGCCTCTGTTATTATGTTATATACTAGAGGCCCAGTGCACAGATTTGTACACCAGTGGGGTGCCTCAGCATGGCCTGTGGGGATCCAGGGAGGAGCTGCTCCCACTCATCCCGGCCCTGCTCATACTGGTCAGCTGAGCGGTGCTCTGCTTGGGAGCCCCACTCATCTTGGTCAGCTGAGTGGCACTCCCACTGTGGGAGCACACTGGCCACCAGGGAGAAGCTCCTGCATTGAGCGTCTGCCCCCTGGTGGTCAGTGAGCATCATAGCGACTGGTCAAGTGATTGACTAGTCGCTTAGGCTTGAGATATGATATACATAATAATAAACATATAAATATATAATACTAGAGGCCCAGTGCACAAATTCGTGCACTGGTGGGGTCCCTCGGCCTGGCCTGCACCCTCTCACAATTCAGGACCCCTCTGGGGATGTCAGACTGCTGGTTTCAGCCAAGTCCGTGCAGGCCAGGCCAAGGAACCCCACTGGTGAACAAATTCATGCACCGGGCCTCTAGTCTGCATATAACATCTTTGGTTAATCTCTTCCTGCCCTCCCCTCTCCCTCCTTCACTCTGAGATTCATCAGTCTGTTTCATGTTTCCATGCCCGTGTGTTGAGCGTCTGCCCCCTGGTGGTCAGTGTGCGTCATAGCTACCAGTTGAACAGTCTTAGGCTTTGTCACTTAGGCTTTTACTAGTATATATGTATACTAGTAGATTGCCCATGAAGGTGAAAATAACACAGTAATAAATCTAGCAAGTGTCTGGTGTGTCTGATAGATATTAAACATAAAACACATATAGGATATCAGTACCTTCACCATAGCAAATGGGACCATATTAATTTTTGAGATTCTAAAATTTATAGATGATAAATATCAAGAAACATAGCACATAGAGTAAGATTTATTGAATGGTAGTATTTGCTAAAATTCTAAAACTTTCCCAAATGCTACTTTATTCAAGAGAAATCACTTTTATCTTTGACTTTAAATATTTGACTCCAATTTTATTTTATGTTTTCTGCACCTCCATTAACCCCCCAGAGGTGACCTCGTAGCTGCACTGGCCTCCATGGGAACAAAGCATCACTACTCCGCCCTCTCACTGTCATTTCACAGGCACCCACCCTCAGTACCCAGAACACCCAGACACTCTCCAAAGGACGTGAGCACATCAGAGGGGATGTGTGCACATCCTGTGGGGGTGTTAGGGATGCCGGGTTGATGGAAGTGCGGTGGAGAGGCAGGGGGAACTTGTGCACACCTTGGTTTGCAACTGTTGGAGGCGCAGGAGGGTGACAGTGTGCTGGGGGATGTTTGCACGCCAGGCGGGGATGTGCACACCAGAGGCCTCTGGCTTTGCAGATCTGCAAACCCCCGTGGTAAGGCCAGGAGGACGTCAGTCTGGCCCACCACGGTGGCTGTCCCTGCGATCCTGCACCTTCTTGGCCAGGAGGCGGATCTTGCGTAGCCACTCCTGGGCGCTGATGGCCTGCAGGTGCTACTTCAGCTCAGCTTGCAGGATCCACTTGGCACGCTCACAGCTGTCACCACTGCCATGTGGGGAGTACAGGCCGCCCTCCGCCGGCCTGCCTCCCCTGTCCAGAGGCTCTCTGTGCTGCTCACCTGCCCAGAGTGACTGGGGCTGGGTGGAAGCCAGGCATCCTGCCCTGCCCAACCCTGGCCAATCTGCCCCTGTGCGTGCTGCCGCCCCACTGGGAAGGGTCACGGATCCGGGTCCTGGGACCACGGACAGCCTCAAGCACTGCCCCCCGCCCGGCAGGGTCACAGATCTGGGTCCTGGGACAGTGGACAGCATCAAGTGTTGCCACCTGCCCGGCAGGGTCACAGATCCGGTCCCGGACCGCAGACAGCCTTGCCCGCTGCTGCCCACCTTCAGTATGCAAATTAGCCACCATCTTGTTGTTTCAGGGTGGGGGTCCCCACTGGGGTGCCTGGCCAGTCTGGGTGAGGGGCTGATGGCTGTTTGCAGCGGTCACACCCCCTTCAGGGTGGGGGTCCCCACTGGGGAGCCTGGCCAGTCTGGGTGAGGGGATGATGGCCGTTTTCAGGCTGGCGGGGGCCTGAAGCTCCCAACTCCTTTTTTTCTTTTATTCTGGGATTTATTTACCTTCTATGGCTGTCACTGGAGCTGAGAGCCAGCTTTAGCTCTGAGGCCTGGCTGCAGCTCTGAGACCTCGGCTGCTGAAAGCAGGGATCTGGGTTTGTTTAGATTCTATAATTGAAACACTGTTGTGATCCTGCTGGCTGAAGCCTGGCTGGCTGAAAGCAGGTTTCTAGGTTTTGTTTAACTTCTATAATTGCAACATTGTTTCTTAGAGTGCAAGCTCAGAGGCTGGCAGTGGCTTCCTCTATCACTGAGCAAGCAAGCCTCCTGTTCGCTTCAGCTGCCTGGCTGCTGGCCGCCATCTTGGTTGGCAGTTAATTTGCATATCGCCCTGATTAGCCAATGGGAAGCATGTCGGAGCTATGGTTAATTACCATGTTTGTCTATTATTATATAGGATGTCACAGAATACTAAAGAGGAAAATCAGGTATAGTGAGTGCCAGCAGAGGTGTGGTGATGCTTGCTATTTTGTATAGGATAATGAGAGAAGGCCATAGGTGCATTTGAGCAATATTAAAGGACTTGTGGATATTTGGGGGAAGTATGTTCCAGGCAGAGGGAATAGCCATTTCAGAGGTCCTATATAGTGAGTGAGAGGACATAGTAGGAATTATAGGGAACTTGAAGGGTTTTCCAGTGAGGGGACACCATCAAGTTTCTATTTTACTAAGATCACGAATAGCACAATATTGTGGAAGATGGATTGTAGATAGTTTGAGATGGGTGTTAGGAAGGAACCAAGAAACTGAAGAAAGGCACCAACAGTTTCCACAGGTATTTAGAAGGTGGAATTGACAGACATTGGTGACTAGATATGGTAAGCAAGGAAGAAAAAGGATTCTGCTCATATTTCTGACTTAGGAAGAAAGAAGGCAAGAATGAATGTTGGTCCTATCAACCAAGACAGGAAATAAAGAAAAGCCAGTTTTAATAGATAGATAATTAGAGGAAGACCAAGGAAGCATGGCAGGAAAATTGCTTCAGTTTCGGACATGAGTTTGAGATACTTGTGAAACACCCAAATAGACCTAACAAAGTGAGTATATAGGTATAGAGTTTAGAGTGGGCACTGAGAGAAAGCGTGGGCTGAAGATATGAATTTGAAAATCATTGGCATATAGAGGTAATAGTTAAAACCATAGAAAATTTCTTTTAAATATTGGTGTTTTCCTTATTTAAATATTATGTTTAAAAATCTGAAATTTCACAATCCTTTGTTTCTTACTTACCTTCTTAACTTGTTGATAAGACTTTAGAAAGTACTTCCTCATGGGTATTTTTCTTTGTGGCAATTCAGGAAAATTTAAACCTAGCCCTGAATTCTGCCTCAGCCATTGGATGTACAGTGGTCAATATTGGTGCACAGGATCTCAAAGAAGGAAAACCTCACTTGGTCTTGGGACTTCTCTGGCAGATCATCAAAGTTGGTCTTTTTGCTGATATTGAGATTTCCAGGAATGAAGGTATGATCATCAAAAATATTTACTTTTCATTTACATACACTTGCTGCAAGAATTTATATTTCTATGTTTTCCTCTCAGCTCTGATTGCATTGCTGAATGAAGGTGAGGAACTAGAAGAGCTGATGAAGCTTTCTCCAGAGGAGTTATTGCTGCGATGGGTGAACTACCATTTGACCAATGCAGGATGGCATACCATCAACAACTTCAGCCAAGACATTAAGGTTTGTATTTTAATGTTCAAATTTGTAACATAAAGTAAGGATGCAGAATGTAAAAACAAAAAAGATACAGACTTGCCTGGCCAGTGTGTCTCAGTGGTTGAGCATCAACCTATGAACCAGGAGGTCATGGCTCCATTCCCTGTAGGGCGCATGCCCAGGTGGTGGGCTCCATTCCTAGTAGAGGACACTCAGGAAGCAGCCGATCAATGATTCTCTCTCATCATTGATGTTTCTATCTTTCTCCCTCTCCCTTCCTCTCTGAAATCAATAAAAATGTATTTTTTAAAAAAGAGAAATACAGACTTAAATTTGGATTGGAATTTAATTCACAAGGGCACAGTTTAGGAAATGAAATTTTGCATTTTTCTGAGAATTATAATCACAATATCTTATATTTAAAAAGAACTGGTTTATTGGCTTTTAATAAGAAACACAACTGGCTATGAAATGAAGGAGATACTCCTTAGCAGATTAAAGCATTCTTTCCATTTTATATTACACAGATATACTAAATTATAAAGTGAATGTCAGTCTGAGAATTACATCTGTTTGATGGACTAGAGGCCCAGTTCAACACTCTTACTGCCACTTTGCCAATAACCAGCTAATAGGAAACCAAATTATCTGAGGGCACAGAGAATCAGTAGGCAAAAGGAGGTCTTCAGGTAGGTCTCTCAACCATGGTAGCTTGAAACACTTCCCTCGCTACTGGGAGACCATTGTCAAGGAAACTGTAACATTCAGTCTGCCTAATAACTGTTATTGTCACTGCATAGACAGGCATTGCCAATTTGGATCCCTGTGACTCTTCTTTATATGCTTTTTTTGTGTTTGTTTTTCAGACTAATCAGTGTTAACAGTAACTCATATTTTCTCTTTAGATACATTAACACCTTCAGTCAGGTTATATTTTTGCCCTAATGGCCTAGATGACAATCTCTCTTTGAAGTGACATTGTATTTCTCTGCTTTCATCTAAAATATGCTCATTTAAAATTTTATTTGGGGGGGGCTCTCTTTTTCTTTTGGTATTTCTACAAACTTTATTTTGTATGACAGGTGAGTTTAGTTCAGCAAATCTAACTCCAATTTAATGTCATGTCTTTAACATACAAATGTGATCATTTTTAAATATTTGCCACAATTTTTTTCAGTTTAGTCATTATATTAATCATTTTTTAAAAATTAAATCTGTATTGTTGAAAATATTACATATATCCTCCTTTTCCCCCCATTGACCCATTCTAGCCCATCTCCATCCCCTACCACAGGCTTTCACCTATTGTCTGTGTCCATGGGTTATGCATAAAGGCATATACATTCTTTTGTTGATCTCTTCCTCTACACCCACCCTTCTCCTCCTTCCCTATGAGATTCCACAGTCTGTTCCATGCTTCTATGTCTCTGGATCCACTCCATTCATCTGTTTATTTTGTTAATTAGATTCCACATATAAGTGAGATCATGTGAGACTTTGTATTTCTCTGACTGGCTTATTTCATTTAGCATAATACTCTCCAGGTCCCTCCATGCTGTCTCAAAG